CAATTAATTTGTTCTTATATGACTTATATTTTTCTTTCGCCTTCTTTGATCTGTCCTTTATGAATTCCTTATATAACGCATTCTTCTTTTTACATGCATTCTGTAATCCCTTACTCATCCACGGTTTCCCACTGTAATTCCTTTTGTTTTTATACTGCTTACGAGGACAGTTCCTGTCATATACTTTCTTAAATATATTTAAAAATTGCTCATATGCTTTATCTACGTCTTCCTCTTTGTAAACTGCTTCCCAGTCTTGCCCCATAAAGTCCTCTTTTAGCCTCCTTACAGCATGTTCGTTCATCACCCTCCTATAAAAAAGATTTGTTTTTGGCCTTTCATTTCTAACATGGCAGTCATAAACCAAAAATACAGGTAAATGATCACTAATATCATTTATAAGTAATCCACTAGACATTTTGCTATCAATATCATTAGTAAATATATTATCTATTAGTGTTGCATGCTGGGTTGTTAATCTACTTGGTTTTGTAATTTTTGGGTGTAAACTACATCTATATAATGTGTTAATAACTCCACCGTTCCTGTGTGCTTGTTAGGATTCAACAAATCTACATTAAAGTCACCACATATGAACATTAATTTATGACTTATTGACGAGTAATTTTTAATTTTCTTTGAGTGGAAAGAAGTTACCAAATGTTAACAGTTCAATACTGGTACAATCCCACTGAAAATTAACAACAAAACAAAATAAAATTAACAAAAAATAACAAAACTGAATAAGCCACAGAACTAGCTAGCATCCAGAGATTTATAACAATGGTAGCCAGTTAATGCAACATTATGAGTGGCTAACATTATTTACAGTTCACTATCCTTCAAATTTATTTTGGGTAGCTAGCTAGCTAGCTAGCTAACTAAATATCTAGCTAGCTGTGTGCTAAGGGAGTATAATTGTCTTAATTGCTTCTAACATTTTAGCTGCTCATTTCAACCTAAATCCAGAATATAAATGATATTTTGGTGATCTGGTGCATGAATTAGCTTGAATGAATGATTAAATTATACTTTTAAAATTTTACAGGTAAAAACTAGACTATAAAGTCATTAGTTTTTGTTGATTAAAAATAACAAAGATTTGACTGAAAAAAATTGATTATAACTAACATACAGTTTTGTTTAAAGACTAATCTGGTAACTACAGGCTGTATAAAGAGTTTTGTGTACAGTTTGTGAAAGGTGAACAAAAAGAATAGCAGAGCAGTAATGAAAGAAACAGCAGTGGGTGTGTTGTTATGTGTAGATAGAAGAGCAACAAAAGAGAGGAAGTAGGTGTCAGTCTGCTCTGTCTGACACATAGATCGCTGTTTTCTTCAACTCTCTTGGCATGAAAGATATGTCAGGCTTCATTTATTTTCTTTTGATAGGCTCTCATAAAATGTTAATTACATTCCATACATAATTTTTCCACATTCATCTTTGTTTTAGTGCAGTTTTTGCTGCAGAAAAAATATAGAATTCTCTTATAAATTTGTTCAAATAATTAAACAGGAACCAGGCACACTTCAGTTTGTCATGAAAAGATCAGTCTGCTTGATTTTTATTTTCAATTGCTTTTCTTGATATGAGGATTGGTGAGGTTTTTTTTTTATTTTCTTTGTTTAATTATTAAATAATGACAGGTGGAGTGACAGCAGCAGGACAATTCATACTTTCCGTGTCTGCTTCAGTCCACTGATATAAATTTCCTCATTTTTCCTGGTCCCCGATGGTACGCAAAGCCATTATTTGCATGTTCGTGTGCAGGCAAAAAATGTGCATCTATGTGGAGCTCAACAAAAAGCCCCAGCAGCACATGTAATAGAATGTGGGTGTATGCGGACATAAGGTTGAAGTATGAATAGTATAAAAAGTATTTAAAAAATATATAAAACGTCCATGTCCACATCTACACGAAACTGTAAACTGGCCTTTACATTGTTCTACTATGTTCATCAACTAGACATGACCTTTGTCTGGCTGAAATCACGTGCAGAGCAGAGTGGTGTAATGAGGGCCTTTTCAATGAAAACACCTGCCTGCTGCATCTGGAAACGACACTGGTGAGAGCAGTGAGGGTGAACCAAAACAATGAGCTAGAAGGTGCAAAATGCTCTGCAGAACCGAGAGGAACTGCAGAGTTGTGGGATGAGTCTCTGTGGGTCTGTCAGTACGAGTAAATCCATTCAGTGTGTGCAGTCATTTGATTCTTTAATAATATAACAGCTGGCTTTGTAAACTGACCAACCCAGAGTAGAATGAGCTGCATATTACTGTGTGCTTCAGGGGTTTGGAATATCAGGCGGCATCACAGATTTATTACAGATGTTTCATGTGGTTATCAGTATAAAATAAAGAATTAATATATTTTCCCTTGAGTCACACTATAGACTGGATTAATAGCTTAATAAAGTGATTGTGCATTTACTTTGCTGAGTGAAGAAACTGGGTTCAACTCACTAGAGGTATGTAACTCTTGCTGTCATCCCTGCATTTTATTCTTCACTGCAGCCCTGAGGAATACACAGTCAAAGTCATACTGACAGGTTGGTTGTCAACTTCCCTCCACTGCCGAAATTTCTATCAAACACTTCCATCAAAGTACAAATAGTTTTCTCAGGGACCCCTCACACAAAACACACATTGCCTGCTCAGCCTTCAGGCAGCTGATAACGCTGCACAGGGAACATGTTGTAGTGCTGCACTTTCTGCTTCACTTCCACCTGCCACTGTGTTGTTGTGTACAGCTGTGGTTGTGGCTGTTTGCTGTTGTCAGTCATGCTGTTACAGTCTGTGCAGAGGGATCAGAGGTCATGATGCAAA